CCATGGGTTTTGCCGCTTGGGGCTCTCGTAAGAAAGCTCCTGGAGGCCTCTTAGGGGTGCTTTGCAGGCCTCTTTGGCCGTCTGGAGGCCGTCAAGGCGTCTTGGACAGATCGTTCGGCGATTCGGGGTTCTCTTGGACTGTCTTTGGGGCCTCTTGGGGCACTCGTGGCCCGTCTTGGGGCTTTCTTGGGCTCCGGGACTCCCCGGGGGGGTGGGGCGTTTGACCCCCCTCCCCCCCCCAGGGCCCCCCCTGACACCCCCCCCACCACCAGCGGGGGAGGGATCGAAGGGAAGGGGCTTCCCGTCGACTCAATTACGACGTTGGTCAATTTCGCTTTGGCTAGCGCGCTGATGAGGTCCCTGGGGCTGCCCGTCGACTCAAGTACGACCAACGAATGACAGAGAGGGGGGAGGCAGGGAAAGGGGACGACAAAGACGACGACCAACGAATGACGGAGATGACGAGTTGAACGGACAAGCCCCTCACACGCGCCGACAGGGTCGGCGGATTTGACGCCAGGGTTCACGGTTAGAGCCAGGAGGGTTGGAAGGAGGCTTTGAAGGAGGTCCAAATGGGCAAGGACGAGGATGAGGTTTGCAGGAAGTGTTATAGGAATGACAGAGTAATTCAGAGAAGGGTTGGAGGGGAAGAGGGAGCTTGAAAAGGGATACTTCGAACGAGGAGGAGGAGGTGCGGGGACAACGGTTGGGAATTCTCTACGCTTCGCATAACCCCACCAGCGTACATTGCGGCTGTTGGCTGCACCCCCCCTCCACTATGTGGTCAGATTCAGACCTGGCTGCGTTCCAGCGCTCCAGGAGCTGGTCGCGGCAGCTGTGGATCTCGGCGACATTCGTGGCCGTTACCTGCGAGGTTGCAGTGTACCGGCTCTTGGGCCAGAGTGAGTCCCCTCTCATCGTTGCAGCCCCGGCCAGTCACTGGTTTCGGATACGATGACCGTCACGCCGGCCCCCCCCAGAGCAGCGGTGTGGTTCGTGGAGTGAGTGCTCTGTAGTTTCCTGCCGTTCCTCTGCCTCTGTTTCCCGCCGACCCCACGTAAGGCTGCGGTGTCCGTGGACTTCGCGTTGAGTGGTTCAGCCTTCAGCGACGTCGTTCCCGTTTTTCACTGCCTGCTGTCGGCTTGGGGAGCTGCTCCGAGCTTGGCGCCGCCAGGGCGACTTCCTCCGTTGCACTCGCACTGCTGGCCGCTTATTCACTTCGGTGTGGCCGCCGCCCATGTGCGTCTGCCTCTCGAATGCGGAGCATTTTGCTCAGTGCATGTGCACCTCACGCATCGCGTGTAATTTGCCTTGTTCCGTAGTCCCGGATATCGCTGTTGCCGCCAGACCGTGGTCGCGCGGCCGCCGACCAAAAAGCATAACCCCACCAGCTTCGACCGCCCCTTGCGTCGGCGGGACCGTTGGCCCTGAGGCTGGTCTTCGTGGTGAGTCTGCGGTGGTCCCCATCCTCTGCACGTTCGTGGTGTCGTTCACCCCCCAGAATTCACCCGCCACTTTGGCTGCACTCCAGCTGGTCTTCACCTTGCTGACGGCGCTTTTCTGAGCGGCAGCGAGGCTCGCCTCCTGTCTGTTCTTCCCCCCCGCGGTCCCCTCGTGTTGTCATTCCCCCGTCTTGCTTGCGCAATTTAGGCCGTAGCTCGTTAGTTACGTTCCTCTTGACGGCGCCCGGCATTCCGATGCGCTCGCGATCAAAAAAGTTACCCTACCAGCCCATTGAGAAACGATGCCCAGAGCAGTAGCCTCTATCAGGGAAGTGGGCGGCACACAGATGACCCCAGCGGAGGCCTCTTGGAGCGTCTTGGGGGCATCTTGGCGGGCCCAGGGCAGTCTGTGAGCTTCTTGGGCGCCTCGGGGATCTTCTTGAGGTTTGTTTGGGGATTTTTTGGTAGCCTCTCGGAGACCTCTTGGGCGCCTCTTGGGGCCGTCTGGGCGCCTTTTGGGACCCTCGGAGGGCGCTCTTGGGAGCTTTCGGGGCGCTCTTGGGCCACCTTGGAGGACATCGATCTTGTTTTGCGAGGAAGTTCAGATCAAGTGCAGATCGTCCTCGCCACTCCTCTTCATCCTCCCGCTCTTCCTCCTCCTCCTTCACTCCTTCTCCTCCTCCTCCTCCTCGTCCTCCTCCATTTCCTCCTCCTCCGCCTCCTTTTCCCCACTCGCCCTCCTCACTTGTCATCCTCTTCCTCCTTCCCCCCCTCGTCATTATCCTTGTCGCTCTGCTCCTTCCTCCTGCTTCTCTTCCTCTTCCTCCTCCTCCTCCTCCTCCTCCTCCTCCTCCTCCTCCTCAGCACACCTCCTCATTACTCCGTTGCTCGTCCACCTGCTCGTCATCCTCGTCCTTCTCCTCCCTGGCTTTTGAAACCGTCCTAATAGGGTCCTGAAAGGCTCCTGAGAGGGTATCGGCATGGTCCTGAGAGGGTCCTGTAAAGGTGTGTCGGGTGGATCTTGTGAATCATTCTGACGCAGCACGGCGCAACATAAGACCAATGCGCGTGGAGGGGTCGGGCCCAGCTGGGGCAACAAACGGTTTAAATCTGATTTCCCCGTCGTGTCCCACTCAGATACGCGAGCCAGTCGCCGTTGCCTCTGGCTCGAGACGCCACTGCCTACCCATCGTCTTTGGAACTCTGGCCGCATGGCCTCGAGCTCTTCGCAGTGGGTGCGCAGAGCGAGCGGCAGGGCAGAGATGGCAGTACTTCTAGATTTCGCACGGGGTAGCAAGACGTACGAGGATGTGACGGCCGATGCACAACGATACGTGTTTGAAGCTCCGGTTCTGGGTAACCTGATGGGCCAAAACACACCCAGAACAATACAGAAGAGACTGGAAGCACTGACCGGCATCTGCACATATTCTCTGACATGTTTCAACATCAGGAAGAAAGGGACATGCGAAGACGAACCGTTGCAGGCGAAACGCCACCCATTCAATTTGATGCATTCTACCATCAAGCAACGATTAACAACATATCCACATTATATCATGGCTTTCGGCCTATCCCACCACCGTGCTTGGGTTGTGGGTCAAAGGGCTCTTGAGTGTTCGCTGGGATATCGTGCTAAGTGTTTCGGGGGCCTCGTGGAAACGATTCTGATGCGGCCTGGGAGCTGTTTAGGGGCCTCTTGGGGCCTCTTTTGGGCCTCTCGGGGGCCTCTTTCAGGCCTCTTGGGGATATCTTGGGGCCTCTTGGGCGCCTCTCGGCGGCCTCTTGGCGGTTTCTTGGGGCCTCCTGGGGGCTTCCTGAGGCCGAGATCTCGAGATGTTCTTTCGGGTCTTCCATTGGGGCCCCACCTTGGAGCCGTCTTGGAGGTTTCTTAGGCTGTCTTGGAGGCCGCCGTGGGGCTCTCTTAGGCCGTGCTGGGGCCGCCTTTGGAGCCTCTTGGGCTGTCTTGGGGCGATCTTGGGGACCTCTTGGGCCGCCTTGGAGCGTCGGGGACATGAAAAGGCGAGAACCCATCAGAAACCTTCAAGAATTAATCTGACGAGGGACCCAACCATATGCAGGTGCGAGCACCGCTGTAGTGATTCACTTTTTCGGTGGCGATCCCTATGAGGCAACGAACCGTGGTAGGGGTGTGCCGACATGAGTGGCGTGGTACACAACGCGAACGAAAACGATTGATCTGAGTACGTAGGGACACTGAGCGCGGGTGAATCTGCGCGCGTGCGTCTGACTGTGAATGAATTTGCGTGCGAGCGAGTCTACGTGCGTGAGTGCGAATATGACAAAGCGTGGTGCAATTGTGTATGAATGTCAATAGTTTGACAATGACTGCCTCTGAGTACTCGTGACGCTGGGCGTGGCCGCCGCAAGGAGCTTCCCCGGGACTCCCCGACGGCATCGCCCGCGCGCCGCGACGCCAATGTCGGCGCGCCCCCCCGCGAGGATCGCGCCCGCTTCCTCCCCTTCCTTTACTCCCTCTTTGCCCGCGCACTCAAAAGTCCAAGGCCGCGGGCGCAGCGCAGCGCGGAGTCCCCCGCGACGCGCGCAGGTCGCCCCGGAGGGGTCCCAGCGACGCGCGCGGGTCGTCCACTGCGCGGAGCAACGAGAGCTAGCTGGCTGGCTGATAGCGGGCAAGGCTCTTGCCGCTGGGCAGAGCAACGACGGGCGAGCGAGGCGCTGGGCAGAACGCAGCACGGAGCCCCCGCGACGCGCGCAGGTCGCCCCGGAGGGGTCCCAGCGACGCGCGCGGGTCGCCCGCTGCGCGGAGCAAAGAGAGCTAGCTGGCTGGCTGGGACCTGCGGTGGGGCTCCATATGGGGCCACGTAGCGCTGTACTGGGCAAGGGAGACGCATGCGGACTGCGCCACGGGGACTTTCGGTGGAGTTCCTTATGGGGCCACGAAACGTGTGAGGGGTGTGCCGACATGAATGGCGGGGACGCATGCGGACTGTGCCACTGGGACTTTCGGCGGAGCTCCTATGGGGCCACGAAACGTGTGAGGGGTGTGCCGAAATAAATGGCGGGGACGCATGCGGACTGCGCCACGGGGACCTTCGGTGGAGTTCCTATGGGGCCACGAAACGTGTGAGGGGTGTGCCGAAATGAATGGCGGGAACGCATGCGGATTGTGCCACTGGGACCTTCGGCGGAGCTCCCTATGGGGCCACGAAACGTGTGAGGGGTGCGCCGACACAAATGGCGGGAACGCATGCGGAGTGTGCCACTGGGACCTTCGGCGGAGCTCCTATGGGGCCACGAAACGTGTGAGGGGTGTGCTGACATGAATGGGGGGGACGCATGCGGACTGTGCCACCGGGGCCTTCGGCGGAGCTCCTATGAGGCCCCGAAACGTGTGAGGGGTGGGCCGACATGAATGGCGGAGACGCATGCGGACTGTGCCACCCGGACCTTCGGCGGAGCTCCTATGGGGCCACGAAGCGTGTGAGGGGTGTGCCGAAATGAGCGGCGGGGACGCGTGCGGACTGTGCCACCGGGACCTTCGGCGGAGCTCTTCTGGGGCCACGAAACGTGTGATGGGTGGGCCGACATGAGTGGCGGGGACGCATGCGGACTGTTCCACTGGAACCTTCGGCGGAGCCCCTATGGGGCCACGAAACGCGTGAGGGGTGGGCCGACATGAATGGCGGGGGCGCTTGCGGACTGCGCCACTGGGACCTTCAGCGGAGCTTTTATGGGGCCACGAAACGTGTGAGGGGTGTGCCGAAATTTCACACCCACTGGGACCTTCGGTGGAGCTCCCTCTGGGGCCACGAAGCGTGTGAGGAATGGGCCGAAATTGGTGTGCGGGACGCATGCGGGCACACCCACTGAGACCTTCGGTGGAGCTCCCTATGGGGCCACGAAACGTGTGAGGGGTGTGCCGAAATGGGTGCGCGGGACGCATGCGGGCACACCGCTCCCTATGGGGCCACGAATTGTGTCAAGGGTGTGCCAAAATGGGTGTGCGGGACGCATGCGGGCACACCCACTGGGACCTTCGGTGGAGCTCCCTATGGGGCCACGAAGCGTGTGAGCGGTGTGCCGAAATGTGTGTGCGGGACGCATGCGGGCACACCCACTGGGACCTTCGGTGGAGCTCCCTATGGGGCCACGAAGCTTGTGAGCGGTGTGCCGAAATGTGTGTGCGGGACGCATGCGGGCACACCCACTGGGACTTTGGGTGGAGCCCCCTATGGGGCCCCGAAACGTGTGAGGGGTGTGCCGACATGGGTGTCCGGGACGCATGCGGGCACACCCACTGGGACCTTCGGTGGAGCTCCCTTTGGGGCCACGAAACGTGTGAACGGTGTACCGAAATGGGTGTGCGGGACGCATGCGGGCACACCCACTGGGACCTTCGGTGGAGCTCCCTATGGGGCCACGAAGCGTGTGAGGGGTGTGCCGAAATGTGTGTGCGAGACGTATGCGGGCACACCCATTGAGACCTTCGGTGGAGCCCCCGATGGGGCCACGAAACGTGTGAGGGGTGTGCTGACATGGGTGTGCGGGACGCATGCGGGCACACCCACTGGCACCTTCGGTGGAGCTCCCTATGGGGCCACGAAACGTGTGAGGGGTGTGCCAAAATGGGTGTGGGGGACGCATGCGGGAACACCCACTGGGACCTTCGGTGGAGCTCCCTATGGGGCCACGAAACGTGTGAGGGGTGTGTCGAAATGGGTGTGCGGGACGCATGCGGGCACACCCATTGGGACCTTCGGTGGAGCCCCCTATGGGGCCACGAAGCGTGTGAGGGGTGTGCCGAAATGGGTGTGCGGGACGCATGCGGGCACACCCACTGGGACCTTCGGTGGAGCTCCCTATGGGGCCACGAAAGGGGTGTGCCGAAATGTGATGGGTGAGGAGGAGGAGGAGGAGGAGGAGGAGGAGGAGAGAGGAGAGGAGAGGAGAGAGAGAGAGAAGAGGAGAGGAGAGGAGAGGAGAGGAGAGGAGAGGAGGAGGAGAGGAGACGCGGGCCACCGTCTCTTCAAAACGAGGACCCAACACCACAGGATGGTTGGGAACTGATGGAAAAAAACTATGATGTTTGCTGGTTGGGGCCCGCTTGGCACTCCCGCGGGGGGCCTCTTGGGGCGTTTCGAAGGCCTCGAGGCCCATCTGGGCGCCATCTTGGGCGTCTTCGATCGATTTTGGGGCTCTTCGGGGCCTTCTTGAGCCGCGGGGGCCTCCTGCGGCCCTCTTGGCCTGTCTTGGGGCTTTCTTGGGCCCTTCAAAATCTACGCGCCACCGCGCCGGAAACCTCGGGGGAACCGCGCCAAACTCCAGGAGATTTGGCAATTTGGGGTCCGAGCCCGTTAACAGTTCAGCCCCAAGGGCCGAGGAGTGATGATTACAAGGGGCCTGACGGCACTCCAACTCGTGCCTCGAGAGCGCGGTGGGCAAGAAATGGACCGATCTGACACAATTGCATGTTCATTCGTAAATTCGCCAGCGTACCCTGGCCACGACTTAGTGGAAGAGTATTTACTTCGGGGAGAGACGGCGGTGCCTATAGGGATATACGGGGACGGCATTGCTGCAGGAGTTGACGTTTACCAAGACAGTTTGTGCGCTAAGTGCGTCTGCGCTTGCCTGCGGCTCATTTCGCCGACGCTCGCGGGGGCATCCAGGGATTTTTTTCTCGGGGCATTCCTGGGCCGCCTCGGCGCGCGCTGGCCTTCAGGGCGTCATATGGACATCGTCGTGGGCCCCCTTGGTTTTCCACTGGGCCGCGCTGTGGGTACCTTGGGATTTTTTTTCGGGCCATGCCTGGGCCGTCTCGGCGCGCGTTGGCCTTCAGGGCGTCCTATGACCATCGTCGTGGGCCCCCAGGAGGAGGAGGAGGAGGAGGAGGAGGAGGAGGAGGAGGAGATACAGTGGGCCCCCTGGGTTCTCTCCTGGGCCGTGCTGGGCTGTCGCGGGCGGCCTCGCGGGCCGTCGCGGCGGCCGGGGCCTTCGTCGGGCCGCGGCGGGAGGCCTGCGACGGCCGCGCGCACGGCCACGGCGTTTTTTGTTTTCCTCTCTCGGGCACCCTCGGCTGCTTCAGGGGGGCGCCCCTGCGAATCTCCGCGGGGGTCCCCATCGGAATCCCCGCGCGCAGCGCCTCCACGGGGATCTACATCCCAAAGCCCCACCAGGGGGGTACCCGCAGGGCTCTCCGTGAGGATCCCTTTGTGAATCTCCAATGGAATCCCGGCAGGAATCCCCAAACAAAAATCTCGATGGAAGATTCCGGAAGAATCGCTGTGGAAATCTTCATGAGAGTCCCCTGGGGATCTCCATCGGACCCCCCATCGGAATCCCGATAGGAATCCCCATCGGGATCTCCATCGAAATCTCCATCGACATCCCGCAGCGAATCCCCATGGAGATCCCCATGGGACTCGCAATGACGTCTCCGCAGGAATCGCAATCACAACCTACGCAGGAATCTTCCCTCGTGGGGATCTCAGTGCAAGCCCCCCTCCTCCTCCTCCTCCTCCTCCTCCTCCTCCTCCTCCTCCTCCTCCTCTTCTCCTCCTCCTCCTCCCTCCTCCTCCTCCTCCTCTCCTCCTCCTCCTCCTCCTCCTTCTCCTCGTCGTCCTCCTCCTCCTCATCATATGTAGGAATCTCTTGGGAAATCCCACGCGCGCCTTCGCGAACCGAGGGCACGGTGGCGGATGTTTGCCGCGTCGGGGAGCCGATGAAAGCCGAACGCCCCAGTCCAAGCGTAGCGGCGACGCAAGAGATTGCACATGATATCTGGGGCGTTCTTCTCTGGGAACTGCAAGCTTTAGCTTTGAGGAGGGGGCCGACACTCGGTGAACAAACGAAGCCCCTGCGGGCTCAGGAGCCAGGGGTCTTCCTGAACGGCGATTGGGGCCCTAAGTGCCGATTTTATTTGATGCAAATCAAAGGGGGCACCGCCTACCAAGTGGAGGTACGTATTTGGTCTGCGACAGTGGAACAGCAAAGCTTTCATGTGTCCTCTTTGTCAGACCCCGTGAGCTGGCACAATTGTTCTGTGCAATCACCTTGGTGGCGATCTGTGGGAAGGGACGAAAAATTCAGACGAGACCTGGATGCGTCGATCGCGAATCAGTTCCATCGCGGCACTTCGCCATCCTCTTTTGTACCGCAGCTGTTGTGGGCACCCTACTTTCGGTGTTCGATGATGAAGCTGGACTGGATGCACGTGACGGACATTGGGATACTAACGCAAGTTCTCGGGGAGGCGTGGTGGGCGCTGTTGCCCAAGCTGGCCACAGGCGTTTGGGGCCAACCAGGGGGTGCTCAAAAAAACATGCACTTGGGCTCCAGAAGTTGAAAGCGAAGCTGCGAGAATACTACAGGTTGCATCGCAGGGACACGAAAATTGCAGCGGAACGGCTCACCTTGCGCAGGGCGCGCGCCCGGAAACACCCGAAGTTGAAGTCCAAAGCGGCCCAGGCGAGGCGCCTGCTGCCATTCACTTTGAACTTGGCGCGAGACGCGTGGCGAATGCGAGGGATCGACGGGCATCGCCTGCAGGCCTTGGAAGCCCTATCGGAAATATTTTCCCTCAGCGACCAATGAGAGCTCAGCGAATATGGGCTCATGCAGTGGCGCCGTTTGAACGCTGCGTTCTTATGTCACCACATTGTTGGTGGATGGGGGGCGCGCCCCAAATCTTTTTTTTTTGTTGTCGCGCACTCGCCCTGGCAAGACTGCCAATCTGGCGTCGCAAGGTCCTTTGGGGGTTACACGGAAGAGACCAATAACAAATATGTGAAGAGGGTTTGGGACGCATCATCGAAAGGCCACGCGGTTGAGCAGCAGACTATATAACATATGCTGTGGGCGTTTAGTTTGGAAGATCAGGGGCGCACTTCCGCTTGATTTCTGTTTGTCTTCTCGCGCAGGCGCGGGTGCACGTCGGCGCGGGCGAGCCCGCGTGGAGAAAAGAGGCCGCCACCACCGCGGAGCGCGCGGGGGAGGGGGGGCGGGGGGGCGAGTGGGGGTGGATGGGGGGCGACCGCTGCGCGACGCGCAGTGGTAAATTGATTTTTCTCCGGTCGTCGGCGCTTCGCGTCGTCTTGCGCTGGGTGCCATCGCGCTCCTGTAGTCAGCGCGGAGGTCCGAAGTGCGAAGCGCGCGCCCCCCAGGCATTCCCGCCGGCGCGTGCCGCGCCCAGCGGCGCGGGCAGCGCGACGTCTGCTGGCGCCCTCCTGGGTGGTGCGTAGAATATATCCGGCGCCATCATGGGCCAGATTGCCCACGACGAGGGCGCTTCGGAGCTGGGGGGGGGGGCGGGGGAGAGAGGGGCAGGGTTGCGCTGCGACGCTCTCCTCCGAGGATTGCAAGTTCAGCAGGGCCGCCGAGGTCGATTCCGCCAAGTGGCGGGCGGGCGCAGCCGAGGAGCTGCGCTACTGGACGAAGAAGCAGCGCATGAAGCGCTCGTCCCAGAATGGCCACGACGACGCCAAGACCGCGAACGCCGCCGAGCCCATCCACGAGCCGCTCAAGGCAGAGGCCGCTCGGAAGACGCCGGTGGCCGCCCAGCCGGTCGCGGATGATGCCCCCGTCGCCAAGAAGCCGTCGGCAGCGGGCCCGCCTGTGCTGAACGCGGGGGCGCAGCCTGCGTGCGGGCAACCTGCGAGCCACAAGGACTTGGTGCAGCGCCTGGCCGACATGGGTGAGGGAGTGCTCGTGGCGCTGCTAAACGCCGCTTCTCAGGCGCAGTCTTCCAAGGTGGGCGCGGCGACCGCGAGGGTGCTGGGGCGCCAGGGGGGCCTCCTGGCGCTTGCCCGAAGATCGAAGAATCCGAGCACGACCACGATTCCGACGGGGGCACCGAGGAAGGGGAGGGCACGGCCAAGCGGAAGAATACCATGAAGGCCATGAAGGCAATGGAAACGACGAAGGCTACGCAGGGGAAGAAGGGGGCGGTTCCGCAAGACAAGGGCTGGAAAGTAGCAAGCCGCGCCCGAGAAAATCCTGGCGCGAAGGACAAGAATTGGGCGGCCTCGTCTGGGGGGCAATCTGACCGCTGGGCCAACGTCGTGACGCTCCTCGCCGACGAGGGCGCCGACGCCTGATGGGGCCGCTGCGACGCCGCCCTCTCCGCGCGTCGCCCGGGCGCGCGCGCGTGCCCGAGCCCGGCCGGCCATGGTCTCGCCATGGGCGCGCGGGGCCGCGCTGCGCAAGAAACCGTCTAGAGGCGGAGACGGCCCTTGACGCGAAAAATCTGCGTTGTCAAGGGGTGTTCTTGTGGTTCTCGCCAGTTTGCTGCCCTGGCTGGTTCGCTCTGTGGACCGCGGCGCCAATGTCGACAACGCGGGCAGGCGTCGCGCGCGCCCTGTGGGCCGTCGCGCCAGCTTCGCCGCCGCGGGCAGGCGCTGCGCGCGGCGGGCCGACAGCTGGTCAGGGGAAGGGGCCCCGAACCCGGGGAACGAAAATATTAATTGTTAAGGTGTGTTTCGTGGTTCTTGCCAGTTCGCTTCCCTGTCTGGCCCGTTCTGTGGACCGTCGCGCCAATTTAACCGCCGCGGGTAAGCGTTGCGCGCGGAGGGCCGAAAGCTGGTCAGGAGGAGGTGCTCCGAAACCTTGACGGAATGTCCTCAATGCATTTTTTTTGTTTTTTTTTCCCCCGTGGTTCTTGCCAGATTGCAGCCCTTGCTGGTTCGCTCCGTGGGCCGCCGTGCCAATTTCACCGCCGGCGGCAAGCGTTGCGCGCGGCGGGCCGAAATCTGGACTGAAGGGCCCCGAACCTTTGAAACGAGAAATCTTCGCTGTCAAGGGGTATTGTTCCCAACCATCCTGTGGTTGTGGGTTTTCGTTTTGAAGAGACAGCGCCCCGCGTTCCTTCCTCCCCCCGCTGCCCCCCCCCCTCCTCCTCGCATCATCGTCATCACCATCATCGTCATCATCATCGCCCTCGCGAGGGCCGTGGCCCCATGGGAGCTCCACCGAAGGCGCCAGTAGCGAAGTGCGCATGGTGGCCTCGGGCCACGTCGGCACACCCCGCACGAGGATCGTGGCCCCGTAGGAGCTCCACCGAAGGCGCCAGTAGCAAAGTGCGCACGGCGGCCCCGGGCCATTTCGGCACACCCCTCACGGGGACCGCGGCCCCATAGGGGCCCCACCGAAGGCGCCAGTAGCAAAGTACGCATGGCGGCGCGGGGCCATTTCGGAACACCCGTCACGAGGATCGTGGCCCCAGAGGAGCTCCACCAAAGGCACCAGTAGCAAAGTGCGCATGGCGGCCTCAGGCCATTTCGTCACACCCCTCGCGAAGATCGTGGCCCCGTAAGGAGCCCCACCGAAGGCGCCAGTAGCAAAGTGCGCATGGCGGGCGCGGGGCCATTTCGGCACACCCCTCACGAGGATCGTGGCCCCATGGGAGTTCCACCGAAGGCGCCAGTAGCAAGAGCGCGTGGCGGCGCGGGGCCATTTCGAAACACCCCCCACGAGGATCGTGGCCCCATAGGGAGCTCCACCGAAGGCGCCAGTAGCAAAGTGCGCGTGGCGGCCTCAACCCATTTCGGCACACCCTTCACGGGGTCGTTGCCCCGGAGGGAGCTCCACCGAAGGCGCCAATAGCAAAGTGCGCGTGGCGGCGCTGGGCCATTTCGGCACACCCCTCACGAGGAGCGTGGCCCCATAGGAGCTCCACCGAAGGCGCCAGTAGCAAATTGCGCATGCGGGCCTCGGGCCATTTCGGCACACCCCTCACCAGGATCGTGGCCCCATAGGGAGCTCCCTCGAAGGTCCCAGTGGCAGGGTCCCCCTTGCGGCCTCGGGCCATTTCGGCGCACCCTTCACGCGGATCGTGGCCCCATAGGGAGCTCCGAAGGCGCCGGCGGCGGGGTTCGCATGGCGGCCTCGGGCCATTTCGGCACACCCCTCGCGAGGATCGTTGCCACATAGGGAGCTCCACCGAAGGCGCCAGTGGCAGGGTTCGCGCGGCGGCCTCGGGCCATTTCGGCACACTCCTCACGAGGATCGTGGCCCCATGGGGAGTTCCACCGAAGGCCCCCAGGGGCAGGGTTCGCACGGCGGCCTCGGGCTATTTCGGCACACCCCTCACGAGGATCGTGGCCCCATAGGGAGCTCCACCGAAGGCGCCAATGGCAGGGTTCCCATGGCGGCCCCGGGCCATTTCGTCACACCCTTCACAAGGATCGTGGCCCCGTAGTTGTGCTGCTTCAACAACCGCGCCTGGGCGTCATACTCCACCTTCTCGACGTGCACCGACACCTCCTCCCTCATGGCTCTCAAAGCCCTCTCCTGCTTCTGCTCCTCGGTCAAAGGGGCGCCGTCCTTGTCGTCGGCGGCGCCCGCGAAGACGGCCACGAACGTGTTCCTGAGCATGTCGGGCTCCGGCGGGAAGCCGTGGCCACATAGGGGGCGCGGGCGAAGATGGTATTCATAATTGCGGTATTGACAACTGCATATGGTTGGGTCCTTCGCCAGGCTAATTTTGTGTTTTTTGCCCGTTTGCTGCCCTGGCTGGTTCGTTCTGCGGGCCGTCGTGCCCATTTCACCACCGCGGGCAAGCGCTGCGCGCGGTGGGCCGAAATCTTGACGGGAGGGGGGGGCCCGAACCCTTGAAACGAGAAATCATCCTTGTCAAGATGTGTTTTGGTAACTCGTGCCAGTTTGCTGCCCTGGCTGGTTCCTTCTGTGCGCCGCGGCGCCAATTTCACCCGCGGGCGGAGCCTGGCCAGAACCTGGCCAGGGGGAGGCGCCCCGAACTCCTGACACGAAGAATCCTCGTCGTCAAGGGGCCCTTCTTTTGTGACTCCTGCCCGTCTGCGGCCCTCGCAGGTGCTTCTCGCGAGCCGTTGTAACCGTTTCATTCGCCACTTCGGGCAAGCGCAGCCCGCGGCAGGGCAAAATCCGACCACGGGAAGGGAGAGAAAACCAGTGAGACAGAAAATCCTTTTTCTTCACGCTTCGCGTATCCCCACCAGCCCATATCAAAACAGCAAGTCTTGCGAAGCATGCCGACAGTCGTGTTTTTCAGGCGTGTTTCCGCCTGCCCCCGCATATCTCCCCTGTTCCTCCTTCCTCCCGCCTCCTTGTACATCCTCCTTGTGGTGGGAGCGGGAGAAGGACGAGGCGGAGGAGGAGGGAGAGAAAGCGGTGGGAGGCAAGAGGGATTTAGCGGAGACGACGACCACAGCGATGATCCTAACAACGACGACGCACCCGACGACGACGACGATATCGACCGCGACGACGACGACGACCACAACCGCGACGACGACGACGACGACGACGTCGACGACGACGACGACGAAGGCGGCGACGACGACGACGACGACGACGACGACGACGACTGGTGGGAGTCGTTGGGGCCCCTCGTGGGGTGAGTCGTTCGGCCCCATCGTCCTTGTGTGAGTCCTTCGGGCCCCTCTTCCTGGTGTGAGTCGTTCGGGCTCCTCGTGGTGTGAGTCGTTCGGGCCCCTGGTCCTGGTGCGAGCCGTTCGGGCTCCTCGTGGTTTGAGTCGTTCGGGCCTCTCGTCCTTGTTTGAGTCGTTCGGGCCCTTTTTCCTGGTGTGAGTCGTTCGGGCTCTTCGTGGTTTGAGTCGTTCGGGCTCTTCGTCCTGGTGTGAGTCGTTCGGGCTTCTCGTGGTGTGAGTTGTTCGGGCCCCTCGTCCTGGTGTGAGTCGTTCGGGCCCCACCTCCTGGTGTGAGTCGTTCGGGTTCCTCGTGGTGTGAGGCGTTCGGGCACCTCGTCCTGGTGTGAGAGTCGTTCGGGCCCCTCGTCTTGGTGTGAGTCGTTCGGGCTCCTCGTGGTGTGAGGCGTTCGGGCACCTCGTCCTGGTGCGAGTCGTTCGGTCCCCTCGTAGTAGTAGTAGTAGTAGTAGTAGTAGTAGTAGTAGTAGTAGTAGTAGTAGTAGTAGTAGTAGTAGTAGTAGTAGTAGTAGTAGTAGTAGTAGTAGTAGTAGTAGTAGTAGTAGTAGTAGTAGTAGTAGTAGTAGTAGTAGTAGTAGTAGTAGTAGTAGTAGTAGTAGTAGTAGTAGTAGTAGTAGTAGTAGTAGTAGTAGTAGTAGTAGTAGTAGTAGTAGTAGTAGTAGTAGTAGTAGTAGTAGTAGTAGTAGTAGTAGTAGTAGTAGTAGTAGTAGTAGTAGTAGTAGTAGTAGTAGTAGTAGTAGTAGTAGTAGTAGTAGTAGTAGTAGTAGTAGTAGTAGTAGTAGTAGTAGTAGTAGTAGTAGTAGTAGTAGTAGTAGTAGTAGTAGTAGTAGTAGTAGTAGTAGTAGTAGTAGTAGTAGTAGTAGTAGTAGTAGTAGTAGTAGTAGTAGTAGTAGTAGTAGTAGTAGTAGTAGTAGTAGTAGTAGTAGTAGTAGTAGTAGTAGTAGTAGTAGTAGTAGTAGTAGTAGTAGTAGTAGTAGTAGTAGTAGTAGTAGTAGTAGTAGTAGTAGTAGTCGTAGTAGTAGTAGTAGTAGTAGTAGTAGTAGTAGTAGTAGTAGTAGTAGTAGTAGTAGTAGTAGTAGTAGTAGTAGTAGTAGTAGTAGTAGTAGTAGTAGTAGTAGTAGTAGTAGTAGTAGTAGTAGTAGTAGTAGTAGTAGTAGTAGTAGTAGTAGTAGTAGTAGTAGTAGTAGTAGTAGTAGTAGTAGTAGTAGTAGTAGTAGTAGTAGTAGTAGTAGTAGTAGTAGTCGTATCCAAGGCAGTTTGGAGGCCTCTTGGAGATCGTAGAGGGGCCTCTTGGGCTCTCTTTTGAGCCTCTTGGGAGCGTCCGGGGGCCCTCTTGGGCGCCTCTTGGAGCGTCTTGGGGGCCTGTTGGGGCCATCTTTGGGGCGATCGATCACAGATGGGGCGAGCATTTTTGTCAGTACCCCCGTCGGGGCCACGATCCTCGTGAGGGGTGTCGAATTTTAGCCCTCCCAGGGATAGAAAAAGGACCCTCTGACCACCCGCGAAACCCCCTCTCCAGGTCCAGGGGGAGGGGGTAGGGGGAGGGGTAAACCCCTCCCCGAAGGGGAAGAAGGGGGGTTGAACAGAGAGAGCTCGCTAAACCACTCACGCCCAAATGGCTGGTGGGATTCGACCACGGGGAGGGAGAGAAAACCAGTGAAACAGAAAATCCTTA